ACGCCAGAACTAGGGGGAGGTGGTGGTTACACAATGCTGTGACTAAACGCAACACAGGACTGAATGCTACCAATTGTTCACTTTAAAAGAGGGAATTTTATGTTATATAAATTTACCTCAATATAAAATGGAAACAATTTGAACTAAATAATCTGAATTGGCTGACGATTTAGCTTCAATATGGAATTTCTGTTACAGGATTGAAAATGTATTTTTCTATTGCTATTTTATCTGCAAGAGTACCCAAAATTTCAAACTGAAACCCAGAAGGAAAGATTACTTTCACCAACTCTGAATCATGAGTGTGATGTTTGGATGTGGTCTCTGGTGTTTATTGCTTCAAGGCTTGCCCCTGCCCACGCCTGACTCTGGCTGAGAGAACCAAGAGTCAAAGGCAGATTCCATCTGGGAGGGGCCTAACGATAGCACACACGGGTTAGGGACACATTAGCTGTTCACTAGCTCAGACAAGAAAGAAGGAAGGGCTTGAGGAAGCAGCTGAGAGAGACAGGCCTGGAGCCTAAGGCGATTCTTGCAAGTCTAAGACACAGATAGCTGGAAGGCACTGTGCGCTCTTCCCAGGGACCCACACACCACAGGCAGTGGGAAGGGAGCAGAGGGGTCAAGGGAGCGTGAACACAGGCTCTGCCTACTTGATAGTGCGGCCTGGTACTTTTCCTATTCCTGTTCATGCCTATTTTTCTTCAGTCATTTTATCTAGGGGATACTGGCAGGATTTGATTGTTATATAATCACAAATGTACAGGAGTAATGCCAACACTTCATCCTTTTCAAAAGCCAAGACACATTATGGAATAGAATACTAAGTGTGTGATGCAGCTTGGGGAAATTAAAGTGGGAGGGGGAGGATAGCAGCACAGAATTAGGGAGCAAGTTTATGTAAGGAGAAAGAGAGCAAGACGGAGGCTAGAATATGTGCATAAAGACTTCAGAAAAGATTTCAGGAGCATCTGATAATAAGACTAATGAGAATAAATATGTGAAACAAAATAGTAATTCTTTTTACAGTGTGGATATAAAGTTCGTGTGCTATTTAAAGTTACAACTATTTTAAATTACACACGAACTTTACGTCTTCCCTGTAGAGTGATAAGGTTTATAAAATAGTAAATTCTACTTGTGGCATTTATAAATATAAATGTTTGTTTCAGCCATAAAAAGAATACAAGTTAATTACAAATATTAATTGCCCACCTTCTATGGACAAATCACTGCAGCAGATCAGAGGTGAAACTGGCCTGACATTGGAGGAACTTTTAAGAACAAGCATATTGCGTGACCACAATGATAGATTTGTGTTAAAAGAGATGCTTCCTTTAAAATGCTGGATTTGTCCCAGATGTAAACTGCTTAGACATGATTTGCTGATTTTATGGCTCCCATCCAAAGGAGCTATCTTCCTGTTGGCAGCACTTGGTAAGCACAGAAACATACGGTGGCTTTGGAGTTATGAGATCAGCCTAAATCTACGGACATCCACATGGGAATATTGAAACAGTGTGGGATGGCCAGGCGAAGTGGCTCACGCCTGTAATCCTAACGCTGGGAGGCTGAGGTGGATGGATTGCTTGATCTCAGGAGTCTGAGATCAGTCTGAGCTAGAGTAAGATCCTGTTTCTACTAAAAATAGAAAAACTAGCCAGGTGCAGTGGCAGGCTTCCATAGTCCCAGCTACTGAAGCAAGAGGATCACCTGAACCCGAGAGTCTGAGGTTGCTGTGAGCTATGACACCACAGCGCTCTATGCACAGCAACAGAGTGAGACTTTATCTCAAAAAAACAAAAATAAAAAACAAGCAAACAAAACCTTGTGGGATAAGGCAGAGGGCAGAGAAGGAAAGGTGGTGGCAGGAGGGGCAGCCCAAACACAGCCCAAAGGCAATAGGAATTGATGAGGAAACCAGCAAGAAGAGGGACTGAATGTCTGGGGCACCCAGATCTCCTTTCAGCAAAGCAGATAGATCAGAAGTCCTCGTGCACAAAGGTCGCGTCACAGCCACAATTGAGTGCCAACTCTGAGGCATTCATCTAGGAGGCGGCCTCTGAGGTGGCTTGGTACTCTGAGGCCTAGCAGACCCACTAGGATCTTCCCTCCGGCCCAGACAGGAGCTACTTGCTCTCAGGAGCCCAGGAAGGATGTCTGTGGGGAGGTGCGACAGGGGAGCTCACCCTCTAATGCAGGGATTTTCAACCCACGTGCCGCGGCTCTCTGGTGTGCTGTGAGAGGATCTGAGGTGTGCTGTGAAAATTTTTAAAGACCATTAATTAAATTATTTTCAAAAGAAGTTCAAAGCACAGCAAGTATACTCTTTTTTACTCTTTTCTTGATCAACATAATTTAATTGTGCTGTGGAAGTTGAACTACAGGTTGAAAAACACTCTAAACAACGTCTCGGTTCTTCACAAGACCAGTGGTGAAACCCGGAGATGGCTCTCTGTGGGTTCTTGTTGTAACTAACCCTGGGGCTGGAGTAACATCCGAATGCATCTGTGATGTGAAATGCACACAAACAGGCACACACACACTCCGGAAAGGACAGGAAAACCAAATTTAAGGAACGAATGGGCATAAAGCAGAGAGGACTGAGGTAGAGACAAGGAAAGGGAAAAGAAAAGAAGAAAAACTGCAAGGATACACTTTATCCACCTTTCACTGGGCCTGGGCTGACGGCCGCGCCCTTGTCCCACTGGCAGCAAGTGATAAGGCTTCCTTTCTGAAGAACCCAGGGATCAAAGCCAGGAAGCATGGAGCCTAGTGCAGCCTGAAGGATGAAGGCATGAATCCCAGTACCTTGAATACACTCAGAGTGTCTGGTGTCACTTCTAGAGTCAGGTTCAAAGAGTCTTAGGAATAAAGTGTGTTGGAAGCTTATTACAGTGGCCAAATGAGATAGGAATTTCTGAACATACTTTTAGTTTAATGCTTTTTTAAATTATAAATATAATACATGCTGACTATAGAACATTTAGGATGGGCATCCTCAAACTATGGCCCACGGGCCACATGCGGCTTGCCTAGGACATTTATCCATTTATCCGGCCTGCTGGATGTTTTTGCCGTCACTCCTTGTCCTGCTTAGCAGCCGACTTGTCCCAGGGCCTGCAGTCTGGCCCTCCAACAGTCTGAGGGACAGTGAACTGGCCCCCTGTTTAAAAAGTTTGAGGACCTCTGATTTAGGAAATATACAGTGCATAAAAATCAAACATACATTGTTATGTGTGTATGTACATATATCCCAGTAATCCCAGAACCCAGAAAAGTCTAGGCATTTTATAGCAGTTGGTCCCTGCAAAGGAGCAAACTTTTAGCTTAGAGCAGGCGTCCTCAAACTATGGCCAGCAGGCCACATGCGGCCAGCCTAGGACAGGCCACCAGGTGTTTTTGCCCCCACTGCCTGTCCTGCTTAGCAGCTGACTCATCCTGGGGCCCGCAGTCCGGCCCTCCAACGGTCTGAGGGACAGTGAACTGGCTCCCTGTTTAAAAAGTTTGAGGACCCCTGGCTTAGAGCCAGGGAGACTATACCAGAACATAACTTTTGGACACAGCAGTTCATATGAACAGGTCATGAACCAGAATTTCAGGCCTTGAGAAAACATGGACTTTGTTACCTGTTAAGGCTGACTTTGGTCTATGTACTCTGGTACGTGTGGCCTGTCGGTGGTCACAGACAGACCTGGCTAAAGACCCAGGCTATTTGATTTGAGGCACTGTGCTTACTGAAATCATTTCTGGTTGTACCAGAGGAGCAAAATGCTCTTCTATTTTAAAATGAAATTATTTTAGGGTGTGCCTTGAAAAAGCACCTGAAAAGTCTTTAATATTTTTATGAGCTGTCACAGACACACACATTCAGAATGTCAGAATGAGAAGAGTCCGGAATAGACTAAGCGGGGAGAAGGTAAGGTGGAGCTCAGAGCTGTGTGCTCAGCCTGTGCCAAGGCCAGCACAGGAAGGCAGAGCCTTGTTTCTGCCCAGGAGCCAGGACCCAGAAGGGCAAGAAGCGTTGGCCTCTGCTTTTTTGGCTCTAAGGTTTCATGCGACTTGAGGAGCACTTTCTCCAGCCTTCCCCAGCTAGAAAGGAATGGCTGCTCAGGGAAGTGTCCGAGGGGTGGTGGGTACTGCAAACAAAGGGCTTGAACAAAGACTTATACTCACAAGGAGCACAGCATCCTCTTCCTCTCTAGGTCCAGATTCCCGCAACAATTGCACAAGCCCTAAATAAGCCTCAAGTGGTCAATCATAGAGCTTTCCTCTCCACCTCCAGAGCTTTGTTTCTGTGATTAACTTTTTCTTAAAAAAAATCATTTCGAAGTACTTGTTGAGCTAAGTGACTGCCCTAAAACCAGAACTGCTCTTAAAACGGGCTTGCAGGCTGGGTGCAGTGGCTCACGCCTGTAACCCTACCAGTCTGGGAGCTCTGGCATGTGGCTAGCCTGAGCTCAGGAATTCCAGACCAGCCTGAGCAAGAGTGAGACCCTCATCTCTAAAAATAAAAAAACCAGCCAGGCGTTGTGGTGTACACCCGTGGTCCCACCTACTTGGGAGGCTGAGGCAAGAGGATCAATCTCTTGTGCCCAAGAGTTGGAGGTTGCTGTGAACTGTGACGCAACAGCACTCTACCAAGGCCAAGAAAGTGAGACCCCGTATCAACAACAGCAAAATAAAAGAGCTTTCACCTGTACCATGGTCTTAAATGAATTACATCAGGTTTGTAAGTGGTTTATTATTTCCAGAGTATTCTAGGATGAAAAAGAACAAAAAGTGCATATTTAAGACTAATCATTGTGCTTTCATTTTTCCACAGCAATAGGTGAAGGACAATTAGCATTAGAAAAATACCTTAGAAAAAGTGAATCATCTTGCAATGCAGTCACTTATCAATTTTATTAAATGAAAGACAACATAATTGCAACATGGGACTTGTGGCAAACTAATAATAACTCCCAAGATGCAGAGGTAGGAAAGACTACTAAACGTACCTGCACTAATTCTGCCTTTAACTCTTCCTTTTCCTCCTCAGAAAGCATGCTAGAGAAGTCAGCACTGGCTACGGCGTCTTCATCTCTTTCTTGCAATGGTTCCGTCTCCAGCAAACCTTTAGGCAAAATTGAGAGAACAGAATGCAATTTAGCCAACTTCTGTTTCCTGGCCTGAAGGATTAGATATGCTGACGGACCCTCCGTCTGAAAAATAACCCACAGTTTCAGAAAAGACAAAAATCTTCCTAAATGCCTCATGAGCTCAGAGAAAGGCAAGGATGCTAAGAAGCCAAACCACGAAGTGGAGGTGGGAAGCCAGAGACATAAACAAAGCTGTCATGATGTTCTAGATTCAGCACAGGGTGAATTCCAGCTCCGATTTCCACTGTCTCATCAGGTGTAAGGGGGCAGAGGTCAAGGTCCCAGGCCCACCCACTCACCCTGAGTCAGGTGAACTAGAAGTTTAAATACCTTCGGTTTCCCACACAGGGTTCTGCAGGACACCGAATAGATGGGGAAATGCATCCGCCCCTAAGAATTCACAACCCTGAGTGGGACTGCACGGAACCTGGCCACTTGAATGCACACGGCCTAGCTCGTCCAAAACAATCTTGAGGTCAGAATTTACAATATGAAGGTCTTTTTCAGCTTCCCTTTGGATGTGGAAAGAGCCAGAACTTGCTGTGGCTACGACTGTGAGGAAGCATCATGGATGAGCTGATTCCGGTAGAGGAAACAGGAGACCTGCCTGGGCGCTGGCTGCCATCACTATGCTCCAGACTAACCCGGAATAGTGCAAATACTACATTGTTATGTGAGATAAGAGCCTTATTATTTTAAATATAAAGAATTTCCCTTGCAAATGTCTGTGCTCTCTGACGGACCCAGGACACAGGCCGACCCATACACGGAAACTTCCTTTCTGACATGATGCTGGCATTTATACCTCTGTGGGGAAAGGAAGGCCTTTTAATAAATTACATTGAAACAAACAGTTATTTGTATACACAAAATTATGTTGGACACCTTTATACAATGCATAGGGACAAAACTATAAACATTTAAAAAGATATCCTAGAAGTTTATATCTAGGGTGTCTGTATAGGAAAAACTTTTTTTTTTTTTTTTTAAACAAGACAAAAAGGGCAAACCATGAAAGAAGGGATGGGTTTAAGATGAAGACTGTCTCTTCATCCAACACACTATGTGGAAAATGAAAAGCCAAACCAATAATTAAAAGACGATATCTCCCACCCACAGCACTAACAAAAGATTTGTTCTCAGAATATATAGAATTTCCACAAACCAATTTAGAAAAGAAATACTCCAATAGCAATATGTGCCAAAGACCCAAACCGATTCTTTGGTGGGGAGAAATCACAAATGGTTAATACACCTTGGAAAACATGCTCAAGTTCATTAATGTTTGGGGAAATATAAATTAAATCATTTCACACTCACTGGATTGGCAGAAAGTTAAAAGGTGAGTGTGACATTATTGAATGCTGGTGACAATGTGGAAGATAAAAACTCATACTCTGCTAACAAGAATATAAACAGGTGCAAATAATTTTTTTTTTTTTTTTTTTTAGACAGAGCCTCACGCTGTCCCCCTGGGCAGAGTGCCGTGGCATTACAGCTCACAGCAACCTCCAACTCCTGGGCTCAAGCGAGTCTCCTGCCTCCGCCTCCCAAGTAGCTGGGACCACAGGCGCCCGCCACAACGCCCGGCTATTTTTTGGTTGCAGCCATCATTGTTTGGCGGGTCCGGGCTGGGGATTCGAACCAGCCACCTTAGGTGTACATGGCTGGCGCCTTAGCCGGTTGAGCTATAGGCGCCGAGCCGCAAATAATTTTGAAAATAATCTAGCATTATCTATTTAAAGTCGAACATTCACATACTCTAGAACCCACCAATTCTGCTATGTGTACACCAGACACATTCTATTCAAGCATCAGACCTCACACGGGAGCATCAGAGGTCACTGATAATAACTTTCTTCGTAGTGACAAACTATAAGTCACCCAAAAGTTCATAAATAAGACCACACGTAAGTATACTGTGGTGGTGCCCTTACCCTACAAAGGCTTCACAAGAGAGAAATGAGCGAACTACAGCCCTATAGGGATAAAGCTCAGAAACATGATACTGAATAAAAAACACAAGTTGCACAAGAATAATAAAGTATAATTCCATTTAGATGAAGTCCCAAAGCTATAAAACGAAATGAACAAAGCTATTTTATTTAGGAACAAAGCTATTTTAAAATGAACAAAGCTATTTTATTAGGAACAAAGCTATTTTAAAAATCAAGTCAATGTTAAAAAATTCATGGATGTAGCTTTTCTCAGAGAAGGAAGGGAGAGAAGGAAATGGGAACAAGAGAAGCCCACTTGGTTACCCCATAGGATTAACGGCAGTGCTTCATTGCTGGGACTGAATTTCTGTACATGAGTATTTTCTGCACTTTTGCCCTTATTTTGTAAATAAATATACAAAATATCCTGGCAATAGAATATTTTTATTTATTATCATTTAATAAAACAGTTAAAAAATTTATTTGGTCTAAAGTTAAAAGAGAAAAGTAAACAACGATCCTATAAAATCAGAATATTTTAGGTAAAGAGAGTAAAAATATGGCCCAAGCCTGGAGAGTTCTGAAGCTGGGCCTACTCCTGCTCACATCCTTACATGTGAATCAACAGTGCACCACACACACTCTTGTGTCTCTGCTAACACATACATCAGTAAACATGGCGTGTTGCAGACCCAAGTTTATCAGACCCTGTGCAGTCATCTCTATGCCAGTGGCCAGGTTCAAGGCTAACTAACTTCCTTCTTAATGAGTAATATCTCTTCATTGCAGAAGACAATAAAAGTATCCACTGTTAATTGAATCAATATTAGTCATGTCTCTCAGAAAGAATTATGATTTTGATCCTTCCTTTTGAGTATTTCTTCTGAGCCACCCCCAGGATGTCCAGCCCAAGCAGTGCCCCTGGGGCACCCAGTGCACCAGGATTTACCAAGCACAGGTGCACCTCCTGTTCTATTCCTGGGAGATATGGGGGAAGAAGAAAGGGAGAAAGAATGAGGAGAGAGACAGCCTGAGATGTGTATATCCAATATTTCCCTTTCAGCCTTGGCCCAGAAAATATGGACTGTGTTAGATTTATAATTGGAGATTCTTTTTTTTTTAGAGACAGAGTCTTACTTTGTCACCCTCGGTAGGGTACTGTGGCATCACAGCTCACAGCAACCTCCAGCTCTTGGGCTTAAGCAACTCTCTTGCCTAAGCCTCCCGAGGAGCTGGGACTACAGGCGCCTGCCAGAACACCCTGCTATTTTGGAGAGTCTCTTTATCCCTCTATTCCCACTCTCCGTCCTCCTCCATCCACCCTTATGCTCCAGAGATGACCAAAGGATTATATGAATAATCCTGACCAGTGGCCTGTGGGGTGGGGGCAGAAGTGAGTGTCCATCCCTGACTGCTTCCTTCCCTGCCAGGCTGCATTCTGTAGTCTCAGCTTTTAACTACTACAGGCCACTGCTGCCATCAGTCCAGCTCTAGTTCAGTTCCAAGACCTCAGCCTTTTCCTCCAGTCTAGGGATTGTCTTTGATTTCCTACTGCCATCGTTCCAAGGACCCTCAACAGCCCCTGCTGGTTGCCCTTAACTCTTGTCCTTTTTCTTGTAATAGTCAATTCATTAACATCTCTGGAATCAGGCACCCCTTTTGAGCATGCCATCCCTCTGCTTCTTTCCTGGTTCCCAACTAGTACAGGCAGCCTGCCCCAATTTCCTTCTTGAACTCTAGAAAGAATGATCTTCAGGCTACCCCACACCAACCTGGTGCATAGTCACAGCACATAAAAGCAGCAGGTGCAAGGGAATTGGGCAGTAGGCCCTTGATACTTAATTCTTTAACTCATTTTTCTGCAGTCAGTTAACCACTGTTAGGAGCAGAACACTGTTAGGGTACTTAGGGAAAAACTTACCACCTAAGCAAGGGGTTGGTGCCTTTGGAGCAGAAAGTGGATAACCAGCCCTGGCCAGAGGTCTGGATGGAAAAAGTAAAGAGAATCTCCCACCACAAGGGAGAGCCAAGACAAGGCTGAATCAGCTTGGAGGGGCTGCTGGATCAAACCCACCTAAGGTGGCAAGATCATGACTTCAGCATCAGAGGACATCACATGCCCAGCTGCCTGAAGAGCCAGAGGGGAACAAGACACTCCATGGGCCCTTCCTGCTTCCATATAACAGACATACCAGATCCCTCCTTAGAGGAGACAAAGAAAAAGGGGAGCTGAAAAAGAAGAAATCTGAACTAGAAGATAATTTTACCAAAGAATTAAGTATTATTTAAATAGGCTTTTTAAATGAATGCATTGGAATAGAGTAGGCTTTGTATTTTTTTCTCACTACTGAAAGCCCAGGGGCTCATACCCAGTTCAGGTATAAGTTTACAAAGAAAAGGGAGCATGGGGAGTACACCAAGATATAGAGTGAATAAATTTTGCAACCTTGCTATAGGAGTATTTTGCACTTAAAGACAGCCATTTTATGCAATGAAGTATATATAATTGTTTTAATGAAGATAAAAATAAGGAAAGATCTGATTAGAAAGGAAGAATTTCACTTCTCCATTGGCCAAGTGAAATATTTGGACAGTAGGGAGGCCTTAAAGTACCTTGCCAAATGGTACCATATGCCTGTTGTCACTATACCCACAAGTGGCTATTTAAGTTCCAAGTTCAGATACAAATAACACAAAGAACTGAACCAGATCCAACTGAGAAGTCACCGTGGTCTGGTCCTAGCACCGTGGCTGAAAGCCGGCACTCATGGGACCTGGGGCTCAGTCTCAAGTAGTGGGGCTCTACCTACCCTAGTCTGGCCCCAAATCCTGTATCCCTATGTCCTTCCCTATCTCACAAACATTTAAAGTATAGTGAATAAAATGTTGGCAAATATGAACTAGGTATGAAAATAACTGTAGGTTAAAAACCGCCAGAACTCCCAAAACATTTCCAACCTGGAGAGAGATGTAACTGTGATCCGAGTCACAAATTGTTACAACTTCTGAGGTTATAGATTAACTCACTTTCTTATTTT